GAATCATTCCCAGCATCTTTGAGGGAATCTTGTATAGGTGAGATCATAGAGAGAGAGGTCAAGAACATTTGACTTCATATCAATAGACTGCCCACATAATCATTTCTGCAAATTTAAGTTCTTGATCTTGATCTAATCTTGTTATAGACTTGAATCTAGGATCTACATATGTCTACTTTTCTTTTCTCAAAACTTAAAACTAACATTGAACTCTTTCGTTACTTAGTGATCAAAATGTTTTAAAAAAAAAGGGTAATAAACGGTCATATTTTATGACATCATTAGAAAAAATTATGGTATCAAGCACCTCCTTCTGGCACATGTTTGTTCATTTGTTGTTTACCCAATCACCTTAAAATGACGTCCAAAGAAATCATCATTGCACATCTTTTCGAAACGTCATTTTCCTCTCTCTTCTTTCTCTCTCATCTCTCTTACCCTCTCATTTTTCCTTACGCGAACACAAATACTATCTCTATATATTTTGTGCAAACAAGAACTCCCAAAAACCTTCAAACCATTTTTCTTCTTCTTCTTTCAAGAAACAGGTTTGTAAATTTTTTTTGTTTTGGCTGTTAATCTTTAAGAAACTTGTTTGTTATTTAAAAACTTTTTTCCCTCTTTTTTTTTATTAACTTGGATATCCAACCCGCTATGCGAGCCGACTAATCCCAGTGCTACCACCTGCTTTGCAGATAGCCCGGAGTCACCACATTTGAACCTCCGTGGCCACAAGGGGATTTTTTTTCCTCCTTGGATTTGAACCTGGGACCTCCTGCTACTTTTGACCTTTGGAACCAAGCTCAAACCAATCAGGCACCACCTTTGTGGTTTTCTTTCCCTCTTTTAAATACAAACAACCGGTTTTGTAAATCATTCTTCTTCTTGATTTATTTTAACCAAGTTTCTAAAACCCTATCTTCTTGAATACCTTAATTTCTTTTGGTTTTTTAAAAGAAAGTTTATCCTTCAAACTTTATTCCTAAAGTGCTTTCTAACATAAAATTGTGCATAATTCCATTTTTCTGCTCTTTTTTTTTTATAGAAATGGCTGATACTCAAAGCGTGGACTTAGCCTTGGAAAATTGCACATTCAAGATATCCATGCAGACAAACCCCATGTTACAGATGATGCTTCATTCCTGAAGAACTCTGTTCTGGGATATGCCCTCACCTTCCAACCTGTAATGGTGAAGGATGTCCTCAGACAGTTTTGGTACACCGTTGAAACAAGGACCATGCAAGACAAGGACAGGAACTCAGTTGTCAAGATCTGTTGTGAGATCAACCAAATGACTGTGAGTTTCGGCTTCCAAACTGTTAGGACTGCTCTTAGAATCCCAAAGTTTGCCTCCTACTCCAACTATCCAGAGAGTGAAGACATCGTCAAATTTATTGACGATATTCACTATGACTGGCCTCTGAAGAAGGACTCAAACACTGAGCTCAACAAGTAGTGACAAAGATTGAGAAGAACAGAATGTCCGCAATCTGGAAATATATGTTTTCACACTTCATTCAGTGCATGGGTGAGAAGACTGGTGGCCAAAATCAAGCAAGTCGGGTGGCGCTGAACATTGGCTGCTCAGTGATCATAGACATCAATGTCAACTCGTGCAACTCATTTTTCACGATCTGGCACTGAAGCTAAACAAGCGTCAGCAAGAAAAGATGGTTCCCTACACCAGGTTCCTGAGTGGGATTCTAGCTAGAATCTTAGCAACTAAGTACCCCGCTCAAAGTGACCTCCCCATCTCAGACTCGGATCAAGAATTCTTGATCACAAGACTAAGCCTTCTACTAAACCACCGATAGTTCATGTATATAATAGGCGGCTACGACCTACATCAGATCCCGACCCAAACAAATTGAATCCTCATCTTGGACTTGGGCAGCAAGCAAACAGCGGCACCAAAACTTGTTGCCGCTCAAACAGCAGCAATAAGCTTGATGTCGACCAAAATAATCAAGCAAAACAACCCCGAATCACAACATCACCAAACAGCTGAGGAAGCAGCACCCAGACGCAAATAGATCTGAAGTCGTGAGGAAGAAAAACATGCCCAGATCTAGATTAAAAAACCAGCAGCAACCAGATCTAGACAGCAACAAATCGTAAACCAAAATGCCTAGGATCAAGAACCCTTGTTGCCCAAAAAAAACCCTAAAAAAGCAAACCCTACTAGCCATATCTTTGAAACACGACCAGATCTGAAAGTTAGCAAACAGCAACCACGAGGAACATATCACATGGATGAACCGAATCCCACAAACAACCAGCAAAACCGATCCCACACAAGGAAGAAACCAAAACTAGAAGAACAAGAACCCTAATCGAAGTACAAAAATTTTGATCCACGAAACTAGTGATTGTTATAAAACTAAGCTCTGATACCATGTAATTAGGGATTATATTGTGCTTTTAACTTGTGTATTACAAAGAAAGGATACAAGGATATATATATAGACAGAAAACCTAGACAAAAGAGAAACCCTAAGGTCCACGAATGTAATTCACCGTAAAAAAAATAAAAATCTTGATTGGAGTCAATCACTTGAGATTTTGTTTCTAGTTCCTTGTCTTAACTTACAATTGTGTAGAAATATAGGCTACTTGTTCAAGAAGACAAACAGTAACACCGGTAATTTCTGGGAAGAAAACGGTTGGAGAAGAGCCTAGAAAGAGGTCGGAGAATGGCCGAGAAAGCAGTCAGATAAGGGTCGAGAAAGCAGACAGGAAACAGCTAAAAAAACATTCGCAGAGAAAACATTGGAAGAACGATCGATAAAACGATCAAGGAACAGCCAAAAAAAGGGTCAAGGAAGGACCAGGAAAATGGTCGGAGAGCGGCCAGCACGGTGCAGCCTGTGCGACTTGGCACGCAACCTAAGTCACATGGAACATTGTTTGGTGGATTTTTGGTTTTAGGTGACCGTCCACCCGACTGCCTGCAAGGTCGTAGGAAGGCCTAGAGCTGTATAAATGACCGAATTTCTAAGTTTTCTTCATTTGGTCATATATTTCTCATTTCTTATCCCATTTTGGTGATTCTTGACCCTAGAGACTCAATTTTTGAAGTTCTTCAAGAGGAGATCAAAGAATATTAAGATTTCTTGATGGTTCAAGAGTGTTTGGAAAAGGTAACTTCCTCATCTCTTCACTCTAAAAGCTAGGGTTCTGAATGTTCTTCATCTCCCCTCCTTTTCTCTCATCTTTGCTTTAGGTTTTGGGTCCTTGTACATGGGAGAGGTCTTTTGGGAGTGTTGGAGTAGATTTCAAATCTTCATCAAAAGGAAACTCAAGGTTTGGGGTAAAACCTAGATTTGGCACAAATCTAGTAAAGTGAATTCTAGTTGCTTTGCAGAACTATATACAAGTCAAAATATCTTAATTTTAAGTTCTGAGCAGACCTCTACGGGTTTACTTCACTTTTGATAAGCTTTGTGAATATTTGTGCATATGGGCATATTTGAGTCATGAAATCTTTAGTAATGTTTATGTTGTGTTTATTGGGTGTTTTGAGACACCAAATGACAATTATTGCTTCAAATGAGTTCTCTTGGATATTTGAATGATTTGTGGCAAAATGTAATTGACTCTTGAAAAAGATGTTTTGAATTATCAATGAATTAAATAGATTTGTTAGACAAGTTGAAGAGTTCATTGACTTCATTTTAGATCAAATATTGTTTTGAGATTTTACCCAACTTATGAGTTTTTGGATAGTGGCACATGAGCCCTTTTGATCATAAGTGTACGAATCTTGGATGAAAGTCTTTCATTGACTTTATTTAGATAGTTAAATGTTTTATGGGGCCTTTTGGATTGACTTTTAACTCAAATGGGTTTTGACGACATTTGTCCGGCTTAAACAATTCAATGTGTGTAGGTTTGGACGTAAAATGTTATATTGCATGATTGTTGGATATTACATATTTTGAGTGCATTTGTCATTCGAGTTGTGTAGTTTTAGATATAAATATATTAGATCCATAGGCATATGAGTCAGTTGTATTTGATAAGTGAGGAGTCTTGATGTCCTCATTTTGTGACCAATGCTTGAGTAGACATTATGGATGTCTCGATATTATGGAGGTGAATTATGATCAAACTCCGAGACTGTAAGCATTATGATTTTAATGCTTTAACCCTATGCATGAGGGTTAAATGCATTTGTATCAAGTAGGGTGTTTAAGGTTCCTATCTTGAATGCTAGTGAGTAGGCACTAAAGGTCGAAATGGAACCTTGAGGTTGGAACTCACTCGAGAACGAATGGGCACTAAGATTCGGTATTCTAGAGGTGACGCTTGAAGAGGTGACTAAAGATATTGTGGTCTTGAGGTGAAACTCGATGGAGTAGACACTACAGGTATTGAGGGCTTGAGGTGACACTTGTTATAGTATGCATTAAAGTCAATGAATCTGAGGTGCAGTTCGATAACGTAGATACATAGCCTATTTTTTGTGTTCCGCCACATTCGATGGAAACGAGTCTTATCCGTCACCGAAAGGTGTTTGGTTACTTCATTACCCATGTTTTCGGTGTTTTGAGTGTAGAGTTTTATCCATATATTTAATGTTTTGGAGAACATGCCTTGTGCACGTTTTGAGTGAGTTTCAATATTGGATGTGAATCTAAAACGGGTATAGAGTTTGGAAATAAAGAGCTTGGAAAGATATTTCTTTTATAACTTGTGTTTTAAATAATAAGTTATCGCTTAAAGAAAATGTTCGTTTTAACAGTTTTATGTTTATAGGTTAAAACTTCTTTAATTCATTAGGCGTTTGGAGCTTTGTAGAGATTACCAGAAGGATGACCTTAGCGCACATTTGGCTTCAATATAGCAGTTAGTAACCCTCTTAACTATTCTGATTTTGTTAAGGATTAGATTGTGGGACTCTGATGCATTCTTGTTCTCCTTCTTATGTAAACTTTAATCATTTTGCTATTTAAGTTGTTTTAAATTGTCTGCTATTTTATAAATTTACAGATATTAACACAAACATTTATGCTTAAGCAAAAACTACAACTTGTATTCTTATTTTTACATATGAAGAAGCGGCCCATACAAGCTGAGCCAAAGAATAATCTGTCGTATTTACAAAATTTTACAGTTGATGTTTGTGAAAGAATGAAAAGAAAAAAAAAAGCTAACTTTTTTACAGCATATCCCTAAATCCTGAGTCAGTCTTGTGATGTAGTCGAGTATTCAAACAGCATACGCTTCGATGGAGCAGACTGTAAAAGAAGGCGTAATCTGCTTGTAAGTTGGTAGATCAATGTCCATTGCATTGCCATCTCTGAATCCTTCATTTGTCTCACCACAGATGCCTGCACAAACAGCAATATTATCACCACCATAGGAAACTCAAACTCTGGTCTGGGTCTTTTTGGTTTTATGTATAAAAACCGACCTGAAGGCGTTTCCCAAGCTGGACTTCGACTTCTGTACCGAATGAAATATTGCTTGCTAATGATTTAAGTGGGTCGACAGTTGGATCAACAGAAAGCAAGCTAGGGATCTGAGGTGCATAAACAAGCCTCCACCTAGCATGTCCAAATTCACCTTTCCCTTCTATTCGAGGCATTAGTGTCTCAAGCGTCGCTGTTGCAAGTTTTTTAAATGCAAGTTGACCATCCCCTTCTAAGATCGACTCTGCCAATTGACTCTCGAACACTCTAGCAGCCTTCCTTGCAATTAAATTAAATTAAAAACAGTTCACTTGTGAAAGAAAAGAATATATTCGAAAATATTACCTCGGAGGGTGAAAGAACGTCCTGTTCCACAGAGCGTGTTGATGTCACAACCAAATTGTCCTGCCATTTAGTTGCTCGACTTTGAATTCTGAATTGCCACTCTGATCCAACCAAAGCCAAATCAAGCATTGGATCTAATCCATTATCAGCCTCAAATTTGGCTGTATTCAAATGCTCTCGCTTCAGCCTCACCTAAATAGGATAAATAAAGACATCTGTTATTATAATATATATAAAAAACAAGAATGAGGAACCATAGATGAACGTTGGCGTCTAACCTGTGTTGCAACAAGGTTCACATCACCATTCTCAAACATTAAAACACCTTTGGGTTTTAACAACTTGGGGTGAGCAATACCATTCAATTCAAGCTCCCCACTAACAGCAAAATTGAGAATTAGAGGATAAACTATCCTCAACTCTGGACCAAGGACCAGCTTCAAATCGGTCAGCTGAATATCTAATTTCGGCTTACTACTTACTTGCCCCATGCCCTTTTTTGCTTCAGCCTGTTTACCTGTACAACAGTAAGACTTGTTTTACTACACTAGCATGGACAATAAGTGTTTACATGCATCTCTCTTTTGCTCATGGTCTTTGGTTATGGCTTATCATTGTTCAACTTCTTCCCTTGCATAGTGTATATTCCATTGATTGGCATGTAATAATTACAGAAATAATAAATAGTTGTGGGTTCCAGAAAACCTTGGAAACTGGATGATTTAGATTAGGACGGAATGAAACAATGAATATTCAGTACAACTTTGATGGTGTTGAAAAGGACGCAGAACCTAGGGGAAATCAGCTCTTTATGTTCGCTTTCATAAATATTGTGTTAAGTTTTACCCTACCCTCTGCTCATTTGGTATAAACGGTAGTGGTTGCTTGGTTTTTATCATATATGATAACATGCCAAGTTAGCTGAGTCCCAGCCAGGGTACCCTACCTCCAGCTGTTCAATAAACTTCTGTTTTTCAACCGCTCCTCCTCATCAATCTTTCATTGCCAGAATATACCAACTCCATGATCTGCTTATGGCAAACCTTCACGTAGGGGTCTGTGTTTCTGAAAGTTTGGTGGCTGAATTAGGGTGCTGAAAGTAACTTGGGGCCAATGCGCATGTCTCATGCCTATTGTGCTTCCATCGCATTCTCAAGTCTACCTTTTCTGCATACTACAGCCATTATTTAGGTTTTCTATGAGTTGCATGAACTTTCCCAAATAGCCCAGTAGCCCAGATCCTTTGGTGCACCATGAGAAGCCCCACTTTTAAGAGGGTTCTTTTGTCTGAGTATCCCATACTCATCTTCGGTTTCTGGCCAGGCAAGGCTATCTCTGAGTCAGGTGATGTGGCATTATATTTACCGATATGAAATGAGACATATAAAGTATCTGCTGATACTTGGAGTGAATACCCTCCTCCATTTATATCTGTACTTCAAAATGTGTAGAGATCGACTCACCAATTGTACATGCTACAAAAACTGAAATCACTGAAGAGCAACCTGATCACTTGATGTAAGCCATGAAACATGACGCTTCTCTCCTATGACAATGGAGTTGGGCCTGTATATCCTCCTATTTGGGGAGTTCTAATGATGCTACTAGCCCATATATCATCTCATGAGCCGGCCAATCCAGCTCATACTTGTTAGGTCAATAACAATTAATTTGTTATCAGATGTTTGCATCTAAATTTAAAAGGTTTCTTGTTCCGTTAAGTGGTAGTTGTGGTTTATGATAACAAGGCTAAAGAATAATACTAGCGTAGAAATAACCACATACCTGAGGGTTGCTGAAATGGAGTATTTGAAGTTGCGGGTTTCAAATTTAAGAAACGTGAAACATATTTTGAAGCAACAACTTGATTGTATCCACCGCTTGGCATGCTTGAACTATCTGATGCTTCCCTGCTTATAGAAGGAGCTCCCCCACCTTTTTCATGAGGTAGGTAAGCTTCCCCATGGCTCAATTTGATGTTCCCACAAATGTTAGGTTGTAATATAGAGCCTGTAACCTGTAGCTGAGTGTCAACCTGACCACTGTGATTTGAAAAAACGCAAGTCAGTCTAGCAAAAGGTGCAATCTCAAAAGGGATAAAACCATGCAACAAGAATCATCCTTAAGGTTTTATGGTTTATTTTGTAATTACAATATTTTCCAACCATGAGAAGCCTCAACATATTCTGGAACAACCCAAAGGCATACAAAGCCAAAGATATATTAGCAAACTTTACTTAGATTGGTCATATGCATAATGATACACCTCTATTCAATATATGTTCCAAATAAGTAGGCTGATTTTCATATTTTGGCACTCACTTTACTGCTTAAGCATTTAGATGAGTAGGGCACTTTAAATTAATTATGAAAAGCAAAGAAAAGAAATAAACACCTTAGAATATTCTTCGCTCGTACTTCCAAGACTTCGCATTTGAGGTCAATTTTATCACCAAGTGAGGCTTCGGTTCTCCTCAGTGGTAGGTTACCTTTCACCGACAGCTTGCCTCTTCTGCTTACCCTACTTTCCAAAGATCTGATGCATAACCTGTTCGAATCCATGAGAATTATGCCCCCAAAGTTTGTAAGTGGTTTCCGTAGTATGGGAGAAGATATTGTTGCCCTGTGAAAAGATGCAGATCCATCGAGCATTGGTTGTTCAACAGTACCTCTGACCTATTCATCCACACACACCCATATGCTTTTGAACGTTAATGCCAAATGAAATGGACTAGATGATCAGGGGTTAAATACCAAAAGACAAACGTAATAATGTCAACAAATATTTGTTTCAGATTTGCTTATATTCATGATAAATTGCTATTGTATTTTTTGGCATGTCATTTTTTCAAAAGTGGCTCAATGTATATTTGACTTTTTGGTAATTAACCCATATAGAAGCGAAAGACATAATCAACCTGAAGTGTAACTTCAGCACTCCCATTCAGCCAGTTAGCATAAGGAGACAATGCGGTTAACAACATCATGCCACCGTCTTTGACGTCAGCATCAACCCTAACTTCACCAACATCCAACACATTCCAGTGCAAACCTTTAAGACTCTCGGCCAACTGTGTATCCCAACCTTCTTCATTCCGAGATAACTTCTTGTCGTTGCTTTCATCCATAGATCCATTTTTCCCTTTTACCCAACCCGGAGCCCAACTTACTTCAGTTTTATCTTTTTCAAGATTTTCTTCATCTGAAAAGTTATTTTGGACTAAAGTCACAGGGATGCTTCCTTGAATATGTACATGGCCATTTTGTATAATCGGTTCGAACTTTGCATTAAACAAAAAACGACTAGTTGATGTCAGAGAGGCAACAATTTCAGCTCGCCCAAGATCAATGCCCCCAATGGCACCATCAAGGAGCCTTACCTGCACATCGCACTCAGGTTTGGCAAGATTTCCTCTCAGATCTCCTTCCATGTGGAGTATGCCCTTTATCGGTGCTAAAAGTTGCCGCAATGAATGAACAACTTCATTGGCTGAAGATTCTAGAACCTGTCCAAGAGTAGGAACTAGACTAACAGGAAAATTCAGGACCGCAAAATGCAAATTGGTTTTTGGACCCAACAAAGTTCCATCAGCATGGATCGTTGCATTATCCCTTTGAATGAACATTTTCTCGAGGCGCAAGCCATCATCGTTGCTGTATGCACCAGCTGCTAGGACACGCTGAGTTTTATAAGTTCCCCATTCCCATTCTTCCCCTTGAAAATCGAAATCCGCCTGAAGAGTTATAAGGATAGAAGTAAGATGCATGACGAAAAAAGAAAATTATTTCAGGGTTATGGGTTATATGCTTGTCCCACTATTCTGAAATTTGATTTGGCACATGATCGAGCGTTTGACTATCATCATACATTTAAATGCACCTCAATAATGATTAATGAAAAAGAATCTTCAATCTAAATCCATGGTACAAACACTCTGGCAAATAGAAGTAAGATGCATGACGAAAAAAGAAAATTATTTCAGGGTTATGGGTTATATGCTTGTCCCACTATTCTGAAATTTGATTTGGCACATGATCGAGCGTTTGACTATCATCATCCATTTAAATGCACCTCAATAATGATTAATGAAAAAGAATCTTCAATCTAAATCCATGGTACAAACACTCTGGCAAATAGCCAAATACAGAATTACGGGCCGGTTCAAATGAAAACCGTAAACTTTTGAGAACATGAGAACTAACTCTCATGCTTTATTCAGATGAAAGTCGTGATAGATATTCATGATAAAAATGCATGATATTTGCATGATATTCATGATATCATGCATTTTTATCATGAATTTATAATGAATAAAGCATGAATAGTTGATGAAAATGCATGATATTCATGTCGAATAATAATCAGGGTCGTCATCACCAATATCAATGAAATAGTTAGTTGACAGGTTCTCAAAACATTTATGGTTCTCATTTTGAACTTTCCCTCAACAAAATTAAAACATAGCAGGAGAAGCTTTGAATTTTTTATAAGCCCAAACGATGACCAAAAAAAGTGTTGCATTTATGTTTGGACAATCCAAAATGATATTGTTGAATTTGTTTTGAGGTGGAGGGAGTACATTTAAAGATAAATTCGTAAGGATCAATAAGTAGAATAAGAGTAGCGTAATTAAATATCATATATGGACAAACACAAGGGTGTGGTTTTATAATATACCATTGTGTCACCATTGCCTCCACCACTTGCATCTAAAGATCCACGCCAACGACCTTTAAGCTCAGCCAAACCTGGAAGGCTTAGTTCTTCCAGGATAACTTCATCTGATGAAGTAGAGTGTCCACGAATTTCCTGAAAGGGTATGACATATTATGAGATCCTATAGATATTCATTCAAGTACATTAATATTTACCTCAAGAAGCTTCTGGAGACTTCCGGCATCAACCCCCACCATCTGTATACTTTGTATGAATAGATCCTGCAAACAGCAATGCATGATTAACATCTAACAAACAGAAAATTACAACCTACCCTAGCAAGATAAATATAAGATGCATGTAAAAACATGTAGAGTGACCCTCTTTCCCTTTTAAGAAATAAATATAGCACATTAAAAGCATGTAACATTCATCAAACACATTCTGTACAATGTTAGAAAGACCTTGGTTGAGGTCACCATTCAAGTCTCCTCAAACCTCAGGGGCCACTGGAGAGTTTGAATGGCTGTTAACTTCAGGGCCGTATGGGATAATCACTTTGACGTGTAGGGTGTAATCTTTGATCTTGCTAAACAAAGCTCCACTCCATCTCTTCTGGGAATTGAATGTTTCTGCATGACGAATGATGTAACATGCGTTGATTTCATCCATATCCAAACCAAACTCCACAACCACCAACGAGAGCAGTGTTCTTTCAGTTGTGTTTCCTGAATAATCGTATCTCATTGATCATGTAATTGATGATAACATGTAAACGCTACCAATAGTGTTTAAACCAACAATTTGACTGTAGAGTTCATTGAGCATTGCATCTCCAACTATGGAGGCATTATCTTCAATGTCATCAAGACCAATTTAAACCCTTTTAACTGTCATTGTATTCATTGTCAGAACGCTTGTTTTATCTGAACATATAACAGTTGCACAACCCGTGGCTTAACAAACCAGTGAGGTCTTGACCATTATGTGATCAACCTTCATTCATTTTATACAAGAAGCAAGGGAGCGGTTGCACGAAAGTGAGAGGCCCTCAATGATTGTCATTACGCAATGTGCAAGAGATAGTAGGTTTATGCTTTCACTCATCTCCTATTTTGAATTCCCGGTAAAATGATGGATTACACCCTCTAGCAGATCGAGAAAATCAATTATGCTAGCACCATTCCAAAAGAAGATCTCAATCACTCTATACCTGCTTGAAGTGGAGTAAGGCAAATGGCTAAGAAACCACATTAACCTCTCGAGGTGGTGGAGACAAACAACTATCATTGTCGGGACGGGGACAGGGACAGATATTGGTCATCAGGAATGGGGATTGGGGTCCCCGCCCCATTCTCATGCCTAACCATGAAGCTAAATGTAAAACATAATGCATGGTTCATCTTTTTTGGGTCTTTTATCTTTTATTTCCAAACCCAGATACTTCCGATATCATCTTGGGGTAAAATGAACATGCAAACACCAGCTCCTCGATCTTTTTTACAATTTCCAGAATGGGTCAAATCGATCCAGATAGTTTCTTTAATGCCCAAAAAGAGAAGAGTATTCCTTAGTAAAGAAAAAGATCAAGAGAGGGGTATAATTGAGACAGTGACCTCGACAATGGTAAGCAGACAATAGTGCACCCCAGAAGGAAAATGGTGCAAGAGGCTAACTTTTTCTTAGTAAACAACTCACCTCTTACCAACATAAGTATCTCTTGGTGGTAATAAGTAAACAGGCTAGCTCAAAGGCAAAAATATGTACTTGGATACCATTGAAAAAAGAAATATAGTTTATGTAAGATCTACCCTTTAAAAACAAATTCCAATAGCTTAAAGGCAATCAATCTAGATTCGTTCATTTGAAGTTGGTTCTCATCAACTACGTTGGCAAGCTGAGAAGCTGGATGGTAGTTTTATAGTATTACCAACTCCACACCATCAGGTGTTCATGGTTCCAATCCAACTACTATTGTGCACGAAATCTAGCACCATTCTCCTCCTCCATTGTTGGTTTGATCACAAGCTTCTTCGGTGCAACACAATTTTGAAAGAAATACACAGCCAATTCAAGGTCACCAATCCCATAATGATAGTCGTCTATCTCCAGTACCTCCAGACGTTCATGCGGTTTCTTAGTCATTTTCCTTACTCCACTTCAAGCAGGTATAGAGTGACCGGGATCTTCTTTTGTGATGGTTGCTAGTATAATTGCTTTTCTCTATCTGCTAGAGGGTGTAATCAATCATTTTATTGGGAATCCAAAACAGGAGATTAGTGAAAGCATAAACCTACTATCTCTTGCAGATTGCGTAATGAAAATCATTGAGGGCCTCTCGCTTGCAGTCAACCTCTTCCTTGCTTTCTGTATAAAAGGAATGAAGGTTGATCACATAATGGTCAAAACCTCGTCATGGGTTGTGCAACTGTTATATGTTCAGATATAGCAAGCGTTTTGACAATGAACACAATGACAGTTAAAAGGGTTCAAATTGGTCTTGATGACGTTAAAGATAATGCCTCCATTGTTTTAGATCCGATGCTCTATGAACTTTACAGTCAAGTTGTTGATTTAAACACTACTAGTAGCGCTAACAAGACATCATCAATTACAGGATCAACGACATACGATTATTCAGGAAGCATAACTAAAAGAACATTGCTCTCGTGGGCGGTTATGGAATTGGGTTTGGATATGGATGATATCAACGCAAGTTGCATCATTGTCACGTAGAAACGTTCAATTCCGAGAAGAGATAGAGTGGAGCTATGGTCAGCAAGATCAAAGATAAGAGCATCTCCAATAGATTATCTATAATTTCTCAAAAATAGAGAACTAGAAGTCAAAATCTCTAAAAAAATTGCATTCAACTGGTTCTCTATTTTAGAGAATTTCATCATCAACTATATTATTAAAATATTCTATAATTTTTCATCCCAATACATTTTTAGGAAAGATAACTTCAAATAAAAAACTAATAAATAAATCTTGTTGGTGGAAAATATTAAAATAACATTTCTCTCCCCTCAAAAGAGTTTTAGAGAATTCTTTATATTTGGAGTTTTATCTAGATTTCTCTATTTTAGAGAATAAGATAGAGAAGTTGTTGGATCAATATAGAGAACCAAAACTCCATTTTCTCTATTTTAGAGAATCTGTTGGAGATGATCTAACACCTACATGTCAAAATAATTGAAAAAATACCAAAACCACCATGTCAAAGTGAGTATGCACATTAAAACATAGAGAATACAACCTTTGATCTAAACTGAAGAGCTGGATCTGTACTGCGAGAAACAAGCCTCGCAAGTGGAAGCATCTCAGCAATTTCAGCACGAGGAACCTCAAGTCTCATTCTCCATCGACCCATAGAAGATATCACACTCCCTAGATGACCAGCCATCGCTCTTCTTAGTAAGTTGCCTCTTTCTTTACCAGTACGGTTGCCAGGCAATACATATTCACCTTGAATCTCATACTGGCTACTGCTTTGTTCCAAGACAGCCTTTTCAACAGTGATCTAAACAGTTCAATATAGTCCAAACATTAAACAACAGCTGCAACATGAAAAAGATTCATACTTCCGTATATGTTCTCAAAAACTTCAACTGACAGATGGAGACTTTTGAAAGAAATCATCCAGTTTAAGTACTTACAACATCCCCGCTCCATCTGGCAGCCACATCTAGAGCTTCCCCTAACACACCGCTGAATTTTGGATGCAGCAGAGATAAGATTCCATGACCCCTTCTTTTCTGAAAATTAAGTTGGATTTCTGCCTGCAACAAACAAAATATATAAGATAAAGAACAAACACAACATACAAAATGCGACATGTAACTAAAACAACTACCAAGGAATTGCAATGGATCAGAAGCTTTAGATACTACTCTAAATGATCAAAATATGCCTAGCAACTATATTTCTATATAAGCTTTAGATACTACTCCCACCATTCTCTAATAAAGTGTTATCTTTGACTAGGCACACAATAAAGGAATAGAAGACCACTAAAAAATATTCAGAACTCCCACAACACCCAATCTGTTAACACATCTTGTAAAAGAAACTCAGGAATAAGTCCAACAAAAATTAGCTTACCCTTTGTAACGTTCCTCTAAGTGAAGCTAGCTCCAGTTCATCAAGTGGTAAATGCCGAACCTTATCAGAAGACATGGTAAACAAGTTACACAGTGAGTGAAAACTAAAGTTTCAATACAACAATGCCTTTTATCATAAACTAGTTGAGGCAGGCTTAAAAGTTAGCAATACTTCCATGTTTCCAATCATTTTACCTTTGATTTATTTATATTATTGTAAGTTGTAAATCAAGAAAGGAGTTTGAAGAATTATTAAATTTTGGAGTTATTTTATTTACAGTTATTGGTAATTCAAGTATGAAAGAACTGTTGCACATAGAAGCAAGTACCTCTAAATTAGCCGACTGAAAAGGCTGATAGCAAACATTGGCTCTTAAATGCCCCTTCTGAAGAGAAAATGACAACATGTTCCCAATTATATTTTCCTCACCAATAGATCGCAACGGTCCGATGACTTCCACCGCAAGACTTTCATCTGGCCTACCAGTAGCATCCAACTGCACCATGGATAATCAATAAGAATTTATCCAAGGAGGCTAAAGAACAGAACCATTAAATGATGCTAGACCATTCAAGAGAAATTTTCAAGCTTAAAGCACGTAACTTTGCAGCAAATAGAAGTCGAGACAGACCTTAATACGTGCACGTGAGATGTTGAGCACTCCAGCTAACTGGGGCGCTAGCATCAACTGATTTAGTTTAAGACCTGTGATTGAAACATCACCAGCAAGAATCTTTGACTCCTCGGTATCTTTCAAAGGTACACCAATGACATTCTTCTGAGCATTTGACAGATGTTCATCTGTAGTACTAATAGGCTTGACAACTTTTCCGTGGAACTTGATTCTTCCGGTTGCTTTTAGATGAATCGGTCGTAGAGAATCAAATGCATAAGAGGAAACCAGGTTGAAAAACTCAAAACCACGCATACGTAAATCCAATTCCACTCCTTCAACAATTACAGGCATGGCAGGTCTCACATCAAACAGATTTTTATTCAACCAGTCCTCGTAAGGATAAGAGGTTTGAATTTTTGTGAACAATTCAAAAGCGATGGATGAAGAACTAATGGTGATATATTCATGTGCTATTATGATATCTCCTCTAGCATCTCCAAATGATCCTTCAGCCTTTGGTGCAGTCCACTTAATATCAAATCTCCTACAAATTAGCAAAATGCTGTTCAAATGAGATACACCTTTATAACCAACTGCATTATGCATCACAAATAAAGTAATGGAAGCTACTAGTATGCATATGCTTTCTACTTATATCTTTTTCCTTGGTTACTTTCCGCTTAGAAATAATCTTATACAGAATTAAATGGAAGCCTTACGGTTTCAGCAACGAGCCTGAGAGTTTTGTTTCTCCATTCAAATCCCCCAACTTAAAAGGTACAAGATGAATATAACCAGGAACATATTGATCCATTAGCTTATCAAAGCATAAATTCCCAGAAAAATTCACATCCATTGCTGTGTCATCTTCCTCACCCTGAAGAATATGAAATAAAAACAATCCTTATCAGATCAAGGAGTCAGTAGTTTTCCTGGTAAGTAAACCAAACAAAACTGACCCAATAAACCCCACTCAAAAGTATGGTCTTAGTGAGTGAGATGTAAGAAGAAATGTCCTCTACCCCAAAAAGTAGAGCGGTTGTTTCCGTAAAGACCCCCCCCCCCCCAACAGCTTGTGCAAGAGTGTGAGCAAACAGTTAAAATGAACAATAACTAGCACATAGAACGAGAAAAATATTGATGAAAAAGTAACGACCAGGTAACTAAAAACACACAAAATGTAAGGTAAGGCAAAAGACACATACAACAGATAAGGCAAAAAACGCATCCCTATATCCATCTCTCCATCATATGACTCTGGTAACCTAAACTACCATTGCCACCTCGACCATCACTCTATGCTGCTAGAGCGGTCAAAATCTGAAATAGCAATCATGAGTGTGATTTGATATAGAGATTTTCACTATAGTAAAGTGGTGGTTTAGCAGTCCAAATAGCGGTTCATATTATAATTAAAATTATACTTATATGATCCACGAAGAAAGTAATCAACTGAAAATATGAAGAAGATAGATAGGCAAAGTGATCTAGTGCCACTCATCTTTTTCTTCAAGTAATAACTCTAAAGCAAACATGTGTAAGTACCTCCGGACAAACCCAAGCGTTCCCTGCCCCACGAATCTCTCCTCCATCAACAAGACTTGCTCTGATCCCATATAAATCTGCAACCTGTGATTTTTTATGTTCTATCAAGTGTACTACATCTTAAAAAGGATTTCAATTTAATGATTTATAGTTATATTTGCAATAAGTAGTATTAGCAACTTACACAATTATCTGTGTTGAAAGTAAAATTGGCTGATACATAAGAGAATGGAACCCTGTCAAATGCTGCTACTGCACCAGCCTCTTTGTTCTTCATGATTGCCTCATAAGCAGCTGATGTAGGAACATCAGCAACTGAACTAGATATTTTTCTTGAAACCAAGCCACTTCCCACAAATACAGGAGCATCCAAAGGTCCTTGACAATTGAAAACAGCTGTCACAGACCCTGCCAACTGCAAGTACAGAGATAGAGAGCAAGTGAGAAATGAAGCACTACAACAAACAGAGGCAGAGCCAGAACTGAACAGGCTATCCAACTCAAAGGTGATAATGAGAATATTGCCCCCACAAGATCATGTGGAGGTGATGAAAAATAGCCTGCTAGCAACCAAGTAGAATGCTATGCTCAAAGTTTTGAATCTTGTAACAATTATGTAGACATTCCATTTCACAGAAAATAACTGACGGGATTATTTAAGTCAATAGTTAGACTCTTTAAAAACACATGTTGTTCTTCGTAACTAACAATTGAAGTCATAAAAACTAACTGTGACAGTGTTTTGGCTTTTTGGCAGAAGTAGAACACAGTTATTACCAATTATCTCTTCAGCCATCATATTCCTGATCTCATGCAGGCAGGAAGGCTCAGTTACAATTGAAGGTTGTGAGATTCTGTATAGAGAGTTGAGAAATGCGCCATGGAAAACATGGTCCACCTTGTTGGGAGTTGGGACTTGGCTTCTGGAAATAAAGCTATACTTTTCATTCTTTGTTTCTAGCAAACAGTCACATCTTTAACCTTACAATTATCTCCTTTTTTTACTCTAACGAACTTACTGGATTCTATTCAGACTCAAACTAATTCCCTACAAAGGCTAAAAATTGAATAACTCAAGGTAGAATTGTTTGGAAAATGAGAAAACAGCATATCTCGCCTTAACTAATGAATTGAACAAAAGTACTTGAAGAAAAGCACCATACCGGAAAGAGTAGAGGTTTCATTTTGAAACTTCTCATCAAAGCGTTTACTTCCACAGAGGGAACCTGGGGAGGAATAGCCAACTTATGCAAATAAGCAAAAGGCATTGACTGTCTTCAAGAAATGTGAAAGTGATAGACAATTTAAGACAAAGATACAGAACTATAAACACACATGTAAATATGAGGAAGTAGAATATTCCCTAGTCATTACCAAAACTAAAATATTTGTCAGTTTATCAGCAAAATCAATTAGTAGAATATCCCCTTCCAGAACAAATAACAGTTGAATATTTCTACAAGTAATTTTGTGGCCCAATGGGATGGGATTATTGTCACAATAATGGTTGTCATTCGGCAGAGGAGGTTTCTCTTAGTTGGTCCGTGTGCAACTTTCATTATATCTAGAACTTCGTACTCCAGTTGTTGATGTGTATGTTGACAGAAATGCGAGCTCGTGATCTGATTAGAGAGTGTGAAGCAGATGAAACATTCAACAGTAACAAATGTGTATGGAACTCTGATTGGGGTAGACTAAAAAATTACCGAAAAGGAATTATAAAGCAGCAAAACCCAAATGAAAACTTAAAAAGGTCAATTCCTTAGGATTCCAGACATGAATGCCTGTCGTTCTACACTCTCCAATCCAAGGCTAGGAGACTCTTTTTTTCTACCAAGACCTGTCAGAGAAAAAGATGGCTGAATGCAGACAGCTGATACATGGTGGCTTATCCAATTCAGCCATTGCTTAGAATCGAACCGATGGCCATCAGTTAACAAATGTGATGCTCTAACCTCTGAGCTAAGCAGGCTCACATAAGCAAAAAACAACACTTCTTGATGGTTATTTCAAATAAGCCATTAAACTCGTTTCCAGCCATTGCACTACTGAGTTGTTTAGTGGCAAACAATGCAATCAAACAACACTTGGGTTAAATGCATAATGTTACTGCTGCGAAGATCTCATGCAACATTACTTGATCTCAGCAAGATGCAAAGCTCAAAGACTAATGTTTGGGTCTCCAAAGACCCCTGTAAGTACACAACTAATATTCAGGGCTCAGATAGGATAACCTGACACATAAGGTGAAATTCTCCTTCCTCTGGTTCAATTCCAAAATCTCCAGAAGCTTCTAAAGGAACCTTGCCAAACCAACCACTTGCATTGTGTAAAAATATGCGTTGAGCCCGGAAACATAAGCTGGCAGATACATCCTACAGAAAAGGAATGATCTCCATTTATTAAAGTTAATGATGATATCATATATTATAAACAATAAAGCTGGACGTACAGAAAATGAAGATGGCGCATCGGATATTTGAAAAGCCAACCCCGTCACATCAAGCTGCCCATGAAGATTGGGGAAACTTTCTCCTTCTGACATGCATATGTGAACCTACAAGCACAACATAAACCCCTTATCATCCCACCAAAAATAGTAAGCCAAATAAAATAGAGCATATAAGAACAATAGCTATGATCAATCTCTTATGCACGTGGAAACATCCGCTCTACCCTTTAGGGGAAGTCTGCGTGCATCCCCCCGGACCATGCTTTCGAGTGGGTTATATTGGGTTCGTTGGTAATATAAGGTCCAACCATCTAGCAACGATGAGCAAGGATGCAAAAGTTAAATAATACTGATACCGCTTAAATAGTTTCAGGCTAGAGACAGTAATTTACCTACGTCAACAATAAACTGCCTTCATATAAACAGCTACTACAGCTACCGGACTAGTTTCAAATTTAAATAGGCAATTAATATACTGTCTGCAGCATTTAGCTTTCTTTAACAAGACAAAATACAGAACAATTCATTTACATGCATTAGGAAACCATAGCGACGACTGATAAGTAAAGTGAAATGCAGGAAATCGAATAGCATATTTATTAGAAAAAACAGCAGATGAATTCGGATAACTTGTAAAAACAATAGAGTGTCAAGAGAATCACCTCACCACTAGCTCTTCCTTCATACCATGCTATAGGAATTTCTAAAATCCTTTCAAAGAGCTACAGGAAAGATGAGAAGGTAAATAAAGAAACATTACGACTTGGTTGAATGGAACAAATTTATTGTAATATCCTAGCGAAAGAAGAATAGTATGGAACCATCTCAACTTTTTTTCTACGGATCAATACAAGCTATACCTTACCGGAGCAAAGAGATTCACAACTTTTAGATTGGCATGCCACTTTTGCTCCACTGTATCCACAAAAACATCTGTAGACAACCAGCCACCATCTTCAGATGTTATGTCTGACCTCCACATCTTACAACTACCACTCAACTGTACATGCACACGACTGTAATTATTTTGGAACTTGACATGTCCACTAGCATTCTCCATTTCTCTGTAAATATGAGAAAGCACTTATGCTTAAGAGATTATGCATGTTATTGTCTAAAAAACATGATTTAACAAAGAATATATCCCATTCATGTATTCTAATGACAAGAATCACTACAGTTAATGTTACTAGAAGCCTGCCAACTTGAATGAGATGCTTTGTACATGGCTTGAAACACTCATTCATGTACACAATGTTTGGCTGATTACAGAACTGTAAAAGAATTTAAAGAAATTCTGAAGATAACTATCACGTCTTCTTACTCTTACCAGAGGTAGTCCATTGAGAGCATAGATAATTATCACATTTTCTTTCTGTTTCCAATAATACAAGTTATCACTAGCAAGTACTTCTCCAACCCAAAAAAACAAATAATTACATTTTCTCTGTATGTTTTGTTGTGTGGTCTGTCATCCAAATTATTTCTAGCGAGGTATACTACTATGCCATATGAGGAATGACGAAACAATATGAGGTTGACTACTAATAAAGAGTCTGACTATGGTGGTATTGTGATTAAATTCTCTCATAAAACTTTCTGGCTATTAGTTAACATTTAATTTTGTTGGATTAGTCACAACTAAGAGAAGATAAACTGGGTAAATAGTGAGGGTCTTAAAGATCGTATCTAACTATTAATTGATCATTTTACTTTAAAAACTACACTTGGTGGCACTAGGTTGGGATGGAGGCGTAAGAACTTGTTCAAGTGAACAAGAATAATCCTCTTTCACCCGGGTCACCAACCAACTTTCTTTATTACCTTGTGTGTCCCCCTGTAAATACAAAACTAGTAATTGAACCAAGTTCTCAACATCCCCTTGTAACATCCAACCACAATCCATGTCAAGGTCAGACTGTTTTAGATTCAATGTTCTAAACTGCTCTTGAAGATTCGAATTCGGAAATCTAGAGTTTACTGGATCAAAAACAAACTCCAAGGGTTTCCGAAAAATAAAGAACTATGCACTATAAAGTCCTTACTTATGATATATCCAAGCACACATGTTGGGAAGCTTTTCTAAGTAAAATGACCGGGCGTGCAATGCAGCCCAACAGCAGGGACCCGGGAAAAGGGAGGTTATCAATTGCTTAGCTTTACCCTTCTCTCTGGGTATGGGGACAACTAAAGATGCCAATCAACTTAACAATTTAGATGATGGGGCAAAATTTATTTAATTATTACTCGCCCCATTTTGACGTATTTTAGTCACCCATATTTCCCATTACTTTTTTTTGAAGTATATAATTTTTATATACAGCAAATAGAACAGATAAACTCACACCCTCCTCACCTTTGGTGAGGTTTGAACCCTTGACCTCCTAGGAGGCCAAAGACTCACATACCGCTAAGCCAAAGGCCCTTTGGTTATTTCTCAATTCCCATTATACATCATATACATATACGAGTATACAGAATATGGGATTTGAGGAATCAAACATCTGGAATGGTACTTGTTGCACCAAATCCACATGTACCCATTATGTTTACTTTCCCAACATCACAATTACTAATCATCTTGTCTAATCACTCAAACCCCATTTCTCACCAACTCTTGTAACCTAATATCTATTAGCAATTAATTGAAACATAAGCACGTAAATTATCAATTGAAAGAACCTTAATTATCAGAATTGAAAAGTTTGAAGAAAATATGTCATGATTCATGCTTGGAAAAATCACATAGTTGCTTGGTTGATCATATTGCCAAAACTAAACTGATGAACATATTTTCTAACGTGCTGGTGTGGCATCACCAATTTTATTGAAATTGTCTCTCAACGCCGAGTAGTTTCAGTTGGCCTATAGCGATTGTTATAGATCAATCTTAAGCCAGGAACACTTTATTATCATTAAAATAATAACCATCCAAACATAAGTGAGAGTAACCTGGGCTCATTGTCACCATATGCAAGTAACAGCAGTGTTCCACCTTTAAAATGGACAGAATCGAGAATAACAGGAGGCGTTCTCTCAATTCCTGCCGTCTTTTCCCCATTAGCCCCTTCAACAAGTTCTGCAACAATACCTTCGACTTTTGGGACAAGCTGTGACTTAATCTTTTGAAAGGGACCAACAATTAAGTACGACCACGGGTCTCCCATGCCCCTGTCGCTTGTGTAAGTTGAACCTTGAGAAGGTACCTCCAACTGCTGCTTGGATTCAGGCCTGTAGCACTGACTTCGGGTATCTATGTCTTCATCTACATTATAAAACACTTCATGATTATTCATTTACGCTAACATATAAAAATTTATGTTTTCCATATACTGCAACATCACAGACAGACAATACTCTGCTACCATTTCTATGATTCTACCTTCACTTGGTTAGCATAAAAAGAAGTGGACTATATATAAAAGAATACAAATATTACACTTAAGCAGTTACCTTCCAGAAGGGATTTGCTCCCCAAATGTTCTTCAGGTGATGCATTAATTTGTAATTTCTCTGATACTAAGACTTTAGGGCGCAGCAAATAGGGGTCCACATACTCTAATTTATGGTCACCAGAATCAGATCTAGTACGCAGTTTCCTAATCTGATTCTGATCCTCTTTGTCAACTAGACTAGGGTCCCCCTGGACACTCCCGTGAACTGTCCCTAGAGATGGATCCAAAAAGTATGTATGTGCTGCTGATGCACTGCGCTCCAGAATCCTTCTTTTGGCTGCCATACCAGTTGTGAACGTATTTCTCCCGTTAGCCTTCCTCTTGAGCTTACGCTTTAAAGGTCCAGGTATAATTCGCGACCAGAATTTCACCCCTGCAATAGGTATATTTACACCAAATGATTTTTCTAAATCTGCATGTTTCATATCATACTCTACACCAGCATCCATGCAATGGTGATCCTGCCAACGGAGTTTCTCATCCATGGAAAAAACCAACTCAGATGTCGACAATCCTGCTGAATTTAAAGCATTCTTCTTTAGAACATCAGTGCCTTCTGATGCATTAGAACCTCTATTCGAAACAATATAGCCCATCTGTGCAGCCTCTCGAGCTGCATCGTCTCTTTCTCTATACATCTGAGCTGCTGTTTGCTCTCTAGCAACTCTCCTGATTTTTGTGCGATTGTCAATACCTTCTTCAGTGGACAAATGCTTCTGTGGAATTCCATCAGAAAAGGGTATCCCTAACCACGTATAATTTCTCTTTTGCGCAACCAACAAGGTAGGATTAGACAAAACAGCATCGATTACAATCTTTCCTCTCCTCAGACTTGAAAAAGGATGAACACGTAATTTAAGAGTGGGGACCTCACCACAAGAGAATTCTTCCTTATGAGGCCCAATGGAGCAGGACTCTAATGTAATGCTTAGTGGAGAAATCCTTCGAACTTTACCAAAATGAAGGTCACGTTGGATATAATCGCTCAATGCTGTGCAAACTGAAGGCAAAAGCTTCGTTTCTACCAATGTTTTGGCTTTTAGCTGCCCATACCATAACAACAAGCACACCCCAGATATCACAGCACAAAAAACTGAACACCTGAATAGAAGCAAACCTTCATCCCAGACAGTGGACAATGACCGAACCAGAACCTTGCTTCTAGTGAAGGGCTCTTTCACAGATTTTACCACAAAACCACTTCTTAATCCTATATTCTTCCATAAGATCTCAACATTTTCCCCACATGATTGGGAAAACCTAATCCCATGAGATATCCAATCATTTTTCTTGGCACGCGGAATAAATTTGTAACAAGCTTTTCTGGGCGCTTTATATTCACCGAGATAACCAAAACTGGTATTATTTCTTGGCTTCACTGTAAATTGAAAAGGTACCCCAACAAATGGGTTATGAAGTCTACTGCTCATTATCTTCACTAAAAAATCATGTCACAACTTGCAGGTCAAGCATTGGGGGACCAAGAACTAAGGGGCGTTTGATTTGCATTACGTTTTTGGAATGAATGGATTCTGTCTAAGAAATTGCAACCTGCAGGAAATGGAATGGAATTAAACTCAATCAGGTATAGGTTAACCACTCTCCCTACTCGTCAAAAGCAAAAGATTTCAAGCATTTAACAAAGGGATTCCAATAACCATCAAGCTCACATCATAGAAATCCAGCAAATACAAACACAACTAACATGCAAATACGAATTTTCAAGAAAAGGCAACATCAAATAAAAAATTCATACAAAACAACATCCACAACACATTCACAGGAAAAAAAATGCGAAAATTACCTCGGTGATTATCGAGAGTAACAAATCGAGAGATGGTGGCCTTTTTTAGGGCAAATCCTGAAACCCATCTGACTTGTTTGTTTCTAACCAAACTCGGAGGTTTTCTATGTGCTTTTTAAGTGTTTGTCTGAGAAATCAAAAAAGAATAAACGCATGAATTTAACTTGCTTCTTACTGCATCTTCTTTTACCAAAATGGCAAAAACTCTTGATAGAAAATCCAATCAGCTGAAGCTGAAAAGTAGGGGTATGGGGAAACGAAAGATACACGACAAGCAACCAAACATTGGAATAGAAGAGCTCAAAAGATACCTGTGGAGACCGGAGAGAATCACAGTCGTTTAGTTCATCGAATTCGTATGAACCGAAAGGTCTAAGCTTATTGTGTATGGAAATGCTTATTAGAATGACCCGAGGAGAAAAGAGCTCCAAAATCAATATTATAAAATCACGGCCGTTGACGTCTTAACGATGTCCAAATTTACAAGTTACCTTCTTCATTTTCTTGTAAGATGTAAGAGTCTCTAATTCGATAAACACGTTTGCATGAATTAATATGTGTATGTGGATTTAGATGGGGTTTTTTAATAGAGGGAAAGAATGTAGATTTGGAAGAAGAAGAAAACTGTATAAATTTTTCTTAAAAGTTTACTGATTAAGGGGTGTTTGGGATTGCTTATTTAAAATAACTTATGTTTTTTTTTTTTTTTTTGTAAAAGTGTTTATTAACTTATGTGGTATCAAACCGGAGTTTTGTAAAAAATGGTACCAAAAAACAATAAGCTGATAAGTTGTTTTTTAGTGTTTGGCAAATTTTGCTTATAGATGTAAAATTACCAAAAATGGTTGGAGCTATTATGTTGAATAAAACTTGGTCCCAAACTGGATTCCTCCAATCTACCTTCGATCAGAGAAGAATGGCATTGCCAGTGGTCCAGTGTTCATCTCTTCAATGTCTTCCCACCTTCAAAAACACAAAACCATCGTCACCACCCCATCCTCTGTCAACCCTCCATCCTCATCACTCTTAGATGTCTTTGCCTCCAATCCTATTTTCTCTAGATTCCTCTCTTCAGATTTCGACTCCACACGATTCTCCTCCGAAGCTCACTCTTCTGGCACCGTCGTTGCTCGTGCCGAAAATATCCAAGACGACATCCGTCTCCTCGAGAAACAGCTTCATTCAGAGGTCCTGTCTCGTCATAGTGACCTTCTCTCCCAGCTCTCTTCCATCTCCTGGTTCGATTTCACAGGTTTCTTTTCTCTGGTTTGATTTCACAGATTTCACAAATTTCACAAATTCCATTTCTCCGGTTCTATTACATATATTCGATTTCACAGGTTCGATTTCTCTGGTGATTTCACATATTTCATAGGCTCGATTTCTCTGGTTCGATTTCACAGATTTCATAGGCTCTGATTACTCTGGTTCGATTTCACAGATTTCATACGCTCTGATTTTCTAGGTCGGTCGCTTGACTGAGGAAGGAGAGTTTGGTTGGTATCAAAAATTGATTAATAAAAAGGTAAAGGGTATTATAAAAGGGTTAAGATGATAAATTGTTAATAAGTTGATTTGATAAGTTTGGGGGGATTAACTTATCAAAAACTGTTTATTACCGGTTTGGCACCGGTATAAGTAGTTTTTTTTCTTCTCATCCAAACACTAAAAATTGTTTATCAACGGTACCACACCGGAATAAGTCAATAAGCACATTAAATAAGCAATCTCAAACACCCCTTAAGTCATTTTCTATATTATTAAGTCACTACGAACAATCATGTGTAATTAACCAAATAAGTTATGAGTCTCGTTAAGAACATCTACACTCATGAACCTCTTTAGAGGTTCTTGACTTTACCACATCAATTTTCTTTATCACATCAGTTTTGTATATCTTTTATAAACATTTTACTCTCTATCATGGATCGATTCATACTTTATATCATAATAACTATAATAATAAAAATTAATTATTATAACTAAAAGAACAATAACCAAAAATTACAATAAATTAAAATGACAATAATTTAAAAATAAGAACAGTTATAATTTGAAATAACAATAATTTAAAATTACAATAAATTAATATAACAGTAAAATTTAAATCTATAATTAACTAATAAGATAAAAAGAACTAATTTTTAAGGTAAAAATTACTTGGGAAACAAATTTAATGAAGTAAAAACTAATTGATTTAATAAGGTAAAAAAGCTATAAAAGACTCAAATTTATGACTTTTTATTATTATTTTAATAGAGGGACCTACTGATCTTGAAGAAAGAAGTGCCCCATAGAGTAACATCTTCATCGCATATGGCAAAATACTCTTCCCTCTTAAAGGATAATTTTTTGAAAGCAGTCCCTTCCAGGGCAAGAACCCAACACTAGGGATGCTCTAAGTTACTAACAAACATACCTTTAGTTTTTTTGGTTAATTTCTAAATATTCATTTTGTATGGTCATTTAGCTAGTTTTTCCATCAAACATATTGGTTTATTAGCTTGTTTTTATTAAATGTTACTAGTTTATCAGCTAACTTGTAAAATAGTCAGCTTATTAGTCAACAACTAACATATCAACTATTTTACTGTAAGACCCGTGAATTTTATTAATTGATCTTATTTTGGGAAATGGTATATATATATATATATATATATATATATATCATCAGTTTCAATGTCCATTCATAGTAAACAAAGGTTTGGACGTGAATAATTGATTTTGGATGGGTCTGAATTGAATCAGGACCAAAAAGTGAAATCCAAATACTTTGAAGGGTTGAGCGACCTTTTGGGGGTAGCCTAGGTTGCACAGTACGTAGCCTCGGCTATTTGAAGGTGGCCTAGGCCGTGAAGCTGGATGTGAAACCAAACAGAAGGCTAAGCGCCTTTTTAGGCGGTTTAACTCACATGGAACGTCGCTCGAACGTTGTGAAGTCGTGTGCACCATGCGTGCCTTTTGAGTGCATTGAAGTTGGGGGTCGGGCAACTTGGGCATATGACATAAAGGTGATAAGGCGCGCCATATCCCACCCCGTGTCCCAAACCCCTTAAGTCGGCGACCAACCTTGTTTTTCTTGCCATTCTTTCCGTCGTTCTTCACTTACCCCATTTGTTTTCCCTAATTTCCTCTCATCTCTCTCTCTCACTCTCTTATTTCCCTCTCTTCCTTGACCAGTTTTTGGAACATTTGGGGAGCATTTAGAGGAGACTTAACCTAAGGGATTCAAGTTATTTTTATGGGGTCTTCATATTCTTCAAGAGGTAAGATTTTTGGAGAGTTTGCATCATATGTAGGGTTTCTCTATGGATCTAATTTTAAGGTTGGTTTCGGTGTATTTCTAGGTTGATTGTGACCTAGATAAAGTTTTTAGAGAAAGATGTTTGTCTATCTAAAGTCTTCACCATTTTGGAAGCTAGAGACAGGTTTGGAACTTAGGTTTAACTTAACCTAGTAATATGAGTTCAAGTTGCCTTCTAAAAAACTTTGCACATGCCACAAATGTATAGTTTAGGGTCTTAAAATGTTTCTCTTAATATTTATCAAATGTGTTGAATATTTGATAAAGTTTGCATATTTGGTACATTTGGGTTATTAAATTGAAAATGCATATATTTGGGATATTTGGACATTTTGATAAATAAATCATGAGAGTGGGCTATTTTGACAATGTATCTTATAAATGAAGATTATTTGGTGATAATGCACCTTTAGTGTATTTTGTTTGGAAAATGCCTATAAGTTTTGTTATGGGACATTTGGAAATGTAAATGGTATGATTTCAGTTGGAAAATGGTTTGTCCTAACCAATTATGGGTTTTTAAGTTGATTGTGCCTTTAGAGTATATGATTGCATAAACATTGGTTAAATACGTTTTATTGCTTATGATAACTTTTATTTAATAGTCAATTGAGTTGTTATCGGCTCGGTTTTGACTCAGATGAATATTGGGGACATTTGTCCGATTTAAATTGGTCTATGTGGAGCTTTTGAAGTTATATGCAATTATAACATATTTATTTTTAAATTACATGTTTTGAGTACATTAGTTATTCAGTTGGGGTCATTGTTAGGTCAAGAATATTATATCTGAGGTTACCAAGATTAAAGAATTGAAGAATAGTCAAAGATGAAAGTCAGCATGATCATAAATGTGTCATGGACTTGTTAAATCGTGTAATAGTATTATTCTCTATATGTCCCTATTTAATGGGTTGACGTTAGAAGACTTATTACTTGTTACATTTTCCTATTTTCTCTATAACAATGGATAAAATCTCTTCCAGTTCTAATTTTAAACGTCCAAGGACGAACGAGGAGTGAGAGAGGATAAGAGAAGAATGATGGAGAAGTCAACTACCACTAAAAATGCCCGATGATGCGAGTGAGGCTATCAAGGACTACCAACTCATATTGGATATACTAAATGAACAACGTTTGCGGACCTTGGTTCAATAAAGGAGAAGATTGAACATGAGATGATCGAGAGGAAGAGATGGATTGATGATGCAAAACAACAGATTAAGCAACAACAGTGCTGGATTGCTGATACAAGAAAGAAAATCAAAGAGGAAGAAAAACTGAACCATGATGCATGGTTTGAACTTGCATGCGGGGAGACTGAAAGAAACATTATGTAATATGAAGAGGACATTGAAAAAAACACGAAAGAAATAGAAAGAATTAAAGCACTCTATCTGCATGATAAAATGTAGTTGTATCGGGTCATAAATTTATTGTTGTAATGTTCCTAGTTCGAACTTTTATAATATATTGTACTTAAATGGTGATGATGTGACAAATCCCCTTATATTTCCCTATAAATAACCTTGTTTTCCATCACAAACTTGTTCAACCATCAAGTATTCATTGACTCTCAACTCAGTAGCTAAAAAATAATGAGCCATTGCAATTGTGGCGCTGATGCAATTATCCGAACATCATGGATCGATCACAACCCAGGCCATCGATTCTTTTGTTGTTCATTACCTATGAGTGTATTCCTATATGAAACATTTCACATATAATTGTGTTTTCATATATATATATATATATATATATATATATATATATGGGTCTAATCAAATGAGAACTAGATAGTTTGTGGTAACTGTGAGGTCCAATATGAGCCAATCATTTTAGATAATTAATGTTATTTACTAAAATAAACCAAAGGGTAAATTAGTAAATTATGTTGATTATTCAACTTACTTTAATAAGTTTAATATTCCAATTTACTTTAATTAGTTTAATTATTTTAATATATATATACACACACACACGGACACACATGGACCAAATCCGGTGGCCTTCTCCGGCACCCACCACCACTCAGGTGACCTTCTCCGGTCATCTTGTCTGACCAAGACGCCGTATCCGATGATCAACC